TCAGTCTCAGGTAAAGTCTCTGGGCAGGAGCAAAATGCAGACAAACTTTCTGCTAAGCCATAACACACATCATGTGGAGTCCAACAACCAATGCAGTCCTTCCCAGCAGAAACCTCCCAAGCCTGGTTTTTGCCATCAGGCTTTCTATCAGCTTTCTGGTCTCCTGAGCTCTGACCAGAATCTCCTCTACAGAACAGCCTAAGCTGCTCCAGCTCTATGCATCCAGGCATGTCCAAACTCCACCCACAAGCCATTTCCAAAGCCTCTTGAAAAACATGGCCAGGTATAGTCACAGCAAACGACCCCACTCCTCAGTACCAAATTTCTGTCTTAGTTACTTTTTACTCTTTGCTGAGACAAAATACCTGATGCCCAAGTTGGGAAAGGAAGGGTTTATTTCTTACAGTTTTTGGAGGTTTCAGTCCACACTCAGTTGGCTCCAAGACAGGCAGGCATGGCTGCACCGCAGTTCCTGGCAGTCGCCAACAGCAAACTCAAACCAGCAAAGAGAAAAACACACCTTCCTGCCATTACATCACATCCTGACTCCACCCCTATGTGGGTGGAGCCATCAGTCCAAGCACTATACAATGAACCATCACAAATGAACAATGCAAACTCATGAGGCCTGGGGGACACAAACATAAACCATAACACTCTCCCTTTCTATTATCTTCCATTCTTCCATCTATGTCTTCTTGAGAAGAACTTAGCATTTCTTTTATTATTGTTCTTATATCTTCCTTTACTTGTACTAGTATTTCTGTTCTGACTATTATAACGTTACGAAGGTAATTCTTCATGTCAAATGCTGCTTTTTCAGGAACTGCGGATGTGCAAGCCACAATCTCTTCTGTGTTTACCTCTCCTGGGCCAGTACTGTTTGGGCTGGAGGCTGGAGGCTTCCTTCTGTATCTTCCTCTTGTCATGTTTCTGGTTTCTTCCATACAAGTGGATAATGGGGGCCTTGGCACTTCCTGTATTGGCTATGATTACACTTTGAAGCATACTGACTAGGGATTGCTACCCTCCCCACTCTGCTAATAACCACTGAAGTACAAGCAGGAGCAGGAAGGTAGGCTGACCCCTCCCTTTTGAGCTGGTCAACCACTGGGAGTCTTCACCACATTAGTGTGTTCTGCACTGTTGGGGCAAGTTGGGGCTAGCTTCAGGGAGACCTGGTCCTTGGCTATTGGATTGAACACAGGGACAGGACTGAGTCCAAGCAATTCTCATCAATCTGCTTTGTGCTAGGAGTGGCTGACTGAAGCCTCTGAGATTCTGGTTCGGGTTTATCCTGTCTGACTCCAAAATGTTGCCCAGTCAATCTCCTACTCCCATGGGAGGACCAAGTTCCTCACACTCACCACAAGCTGGTGCAGATCTCCGAGCCACCACTCCCCTCTGCAACCACGTACTATCCACAAGGCCCTTGGGCTCACCAACCCCCAACTTCACCACAACCACACATCTTTGGATTCCAGCAGCATTTTATACAAAATGGGGCTGGCTCCAGTGAGAGCACATCTGGCTTCAGCATTCCATCCACATTTTTCTTTCTTTTTTTTTTTTTTTCCTTTTCCCTTTAGTTTCTTCCTGGGTCAAGAGGATCCATCTCCTTTTGTCTAGTCTTCTCCAGGATGTTTTATTCCAGCATTAGAGCTGTTTCTCTCAGACAGGCTCTTTATTTTGCTTCCTATTGATCTGCCATCTTCCCAGCTTCCTCCTGGTTCATTTTTTAAGCATTTGAATACATGTCTGGTTATATTCACCAAAAGTATGTTTTTTGATGCTTTTGCTTTATATTTCCATAAATATCATGTAGTACTTATCATATGTCACTTGGTTTTTCACTCAGAACTATACATTTGAAATTTATTTGAGTTAGTATAAACTAGTCTGTTTTTATTTGCTGTGATATTTATCCTAAAATTATACCACATATTTTTTCTGTCCATTTGGATTATTTAAAAAATAAAGTATGATTAGAAAGGAGTATTTAAAAAGTGAAGGTAACCAGCTATATTAGATTGATTCTCTGTAGACTAACCAAGAAAAGTATTGCCAGACTTTTGGAGTTTAGGTGATGTCATAAAGGAGCTATAATATCTGAGGGTGGTTTTAATTTTTAGTTATCTCACTATAAGCAAAATTGTGCATATTTGCTTACTAATGGGGGCTCTTTTAGTATCCTTTATCCATTATTCAGAGCTTTAACCTTTTTCCCCCCTCTTCTTGCTTATTGGGAAATTAGCGCTTTATCTGTGGTATGAATTATAATTACTTTCCCCAATATATCATTTTTCTTTTTATCTACATATTGCATTCCTACCATTCAAACTTTGCATATATTTATGTAGCTGTTCAATCAGTTTTTCCAAATGGCCTCTGAATTTTGGTATAAAAATTCAGAAAGATTTTCCCTACTCTGTGTCTTACTGGTTTTGAGAACAAAATAATGCAATCCCTTTAGAGAAGAATCTGACAAGACCTGCATATAGATTTTCCCATTGTCTTTCGGATCCACTTATGAATACTTATTCGAACATAGCATGTAAGAATCAAATGAGATAATGCAACATCATTCATTATATTACCATCACATTTCTTAATATTAGCAATTGATTGTAAAATTACCAAAATTTAGCATTAAGAGGCTAAAGTATTATGGTTCATGTAAATAAAAGAGTATCATGCCTTTGTGAGGGGAAAGGAACACAGAAGCTCTCTATATTAATAAGGAAATATCTAGTTAACTGAAAAATTATAGTACAGTTTGATTCATGTAAGAAAGAGAAATGGAAACAAATTTTTATTTAAATAACACTGGGGAGATCAATAAGGAACCAGCTGCTTATCTGTGTAAGGCCTAAAAGATATGGGAGGGTAGGCAGCAGGCCAGTAAGACTTTTCAGTAATTTTATTTGGTGTTTACTTTAGACACTATTGGATATATTACCTGTTCAAAAAATAAAATAGCAGTATATTGGATAATACATAGAATAAATTGCTTAATAATATGTTTTTTGTTCTTCATTTTTCTTGTTATGTGCAATACATTTTTAAATGTGCTTTGTGTGGGTGTGGGTGTGGGTGTGTGTTTGACATAGGGTCTCATAGAGTTCTGGCAGGCCTTGAGCTCACCTTGTAACCCAGGCTGCTCTTGAACTCACGACAATCCTCTTGTCTCAGCCTCCAGAGTGCTGGAGTTAAAGGCATGAGTTACCATGCCCAGATAAATGTGTTGATTTTCTAAAATCAGTAATATGTATATTTTGGCAAAGATTCTCTCTTTGGTCAAACTGAACTCCTCTAATTAGACCTTCAATGTGGGCCTGTCCAGCATTCTGAAAAGTTCTAGCAAAAATTCTACCTAACCAAATTTAGAAAGAATACCCCACCATTAGTATTTAACATGATAGTCTTCCTTCGGCAAGAATTCCTTAGGTTGGTTTAGCAAGAACCCCTCAATTCTTAATTTTAGTGCCTTGTCATCCACTGACCTCTTTATTTTGTTCTATGTGTATAAGTCCTGCTTGTCCTTGGTATATTTGGATTTGAGCTAATCTGTCTACTTTGTTATTGTTATGGTCTTGACACCTGTCACAATAGTTTTGAATAATATCTTCCTTGTTGTATTAACAAGTGTCACAAATAATTTTTCTTTAACAGTTATGGTGCTGTGACATGGATAGGATCAGTTTCGTGATTAAATCCCTGGATCTCTCAACCAAAGCTTCCAAGGATACCACTTTGAAGTCTAAATCTTCACACCTGACTGAATGAGCAGGTGTACCTTTATGAGTTTGATTCACGAGCCAGTGCTCTGGATGAGGTTCTTTGAAGAACAGTGAGATAGATCTTTGACCCTGAAAATTCTGAGTAAAGCTCTAAGACTGTATTACAGCTCCAGGCCTCTTTGTCTGAAAGGCATCTCTGGAGTTGGAAGTATTTTCCTGCCACTTTTATTCAAGTGGGAAATAATTCCCTGAGTCCTGAACTGGAAGTTATTTTTTCTGGCTGTTTGTTTTGAGGGAAAGTTCTCTTCTAGAGTCTTATGCCGAAACAGATTTCCTAGCTATTATGAACTCTGTTTATAATCCTTCTCCTCTCATGGGACTTTCTCAGTGTACTGAGCCCCTTCTCTCTTAAACTCCTGGTGACTCTATGCTCCACTAGTTCTGTCTGATTCCTTTCCTGCTGGCATGGTTTTACCCAGGATAATTTTGAAATTAGGGGCCTCTTTGGGAAATTTCAGCTCCCCCAAACAGTCTCCTTTAAGCTTCTCTGTTTTTCTTTATTTTTAACTGTAATTTTATTCATTATTGAATACATAAATTTGAAACTATCATAATTGATTTGTACATAGTCATGAGAAGCAATGAATGAAATAAAATGTATACTAACTTGAAACGGAAAATTAGATTTCTAAAATTTAAATCCCAATTTTCACAATTTACTATGGGACATCAAGTAGTCTAGTTAACCTTTTTGTGTTTTACTTATAAATTCTGTGTAACAGAATAACAGCCACTGTGACTATAGATATGATGCTATAGTCCATATAATCTAGATGTATATATACTAACCTGTACCATCCAGGTTTGTGTAGGTACACTGTATGACACAATGACCAAACTGCTGTCTCAAAATGTATCTCCTTTGCTAAGTGACCATGACTAATAATAATATTATACACTGGATAGGACAGTTGTAAAAATTAAGTTGAAGACTACTTTGAAAAAAACTAAAATTAGAAACTTTTGCAAGATAAGGTATGTGAACTATATTCAAAATAAGTCACTACTAGGAAAGTCATAGGGCATTTCCCTTATGATTGTCTCAAATACATTTTCCACTGTAAATATTCCACAAACAAGACTCATAAGTACAGTGTTAGAACCATTTTCCTTAAATGACAGAACTCCAAAAAAATAATTTAGAACATAAAAAAACCTTATTACTATTATTTTCTCTGCCTCTTGTGTGTTTTTTTCCAGACATGGGATGTAGCTCTGTCACGAACTGCAAGAGCATGGGGGAAGAAATGTGTGTTTGAACGTAATAAGCATCTGGAAGAAGCACAAATGGCCCATCCTACATTTAATTCTGTTGGTGAAAATATGTGGGTTGGCCCTGCAAAAGAATTTAATGCAAGTGTTGTTATCAGAAGTTGGTATGAGGAAAGAGAAAACTATACTTTTCAAAATGACAGTTGCTCTGCAGACTGTTCTTACTATGTTCAGGTATCTAATTTTTATGTTTTTATGAATGTTGTATACTTCTTAGTTGCTTTGCTTTCTAGTTTTATGTTTTATCCTATAAATAAACTCAACTGGTAAAATTATTACTTCTAAGGAAGTCAAAATTCTAATTAGTCTTCTATCTTCAAAATACCCATAATTCAACTACGTAAACTATATCATCAAAACAATACTTAGTGTCTAATACTTAGTATCAAAACAATAGTGTCTTAGTTGCTTTGCTTGCTGAAACAAAAATTATCCAACATCCAAAGTTAAAGAAAGTTTTATTTGGCTCACAGGTTACAGAGGTTTTAGTCCATAGTTAACTGACTCCATGTTAGGGAAGCATGGCTGAGAGACATCACATAGGATAAACAACAGTGCATGGTGTGGAAGGCAGGAGGCAGTAAAAGCAAGCTAGGGCAGTAATAGGAACAGCAGTGGCTACAAAACAGAAACAGCCTGTTATATTCTATCAAGATGTAAGCCTTTTGATTAGTACCACCCACATCCAAATGGGGCACCCTTAACAGCAGCATCACACACTTAATCCCAGTATCACAGATCCTAGATCCAGCCACCCTTGAAACACCCCATGTGAGACTCTGGATACAAGCCATAATATACAGTATATCCAAAAATGAAAAACACTTGTCAAAAATAACACATGGGGAAAGGAAATAAGAATACAGTAAATATTTACTAATAATATTTACAAATTCTTAACATAAGAATTATTTCCAAATTATTGACTATTAAAATAGAAGCTTGATTTTTTGTACCAGTTTCATAATACAGTATAACTGACAGAAAATTTTAAACAAAAATCAATGACATTATTTCCCTTCCTCACGCCCAACAATCCACGCTTGTACCTGAATACTGAATCACTTTTTATTATTTGTATCACCTTTCTTATTTCACATATCAGAATGAGTAATCACCTCTGTTTAATAATCTTCAAATTCTCTATCTGTTAAAAACTGAGGCCAGAAACCTTTACTTCTCCTCATATTTTCAACACTGCATGACATTTTTGAGGTCTTCAATAAATATTTGTATCAGAACCAAGAAATTACTGAATGAGCTTTCACGTTTATTTAAAACATGATTAGTTTTCAATCAGTAGGCCCAGATATATGGTTTATTTAAAGTTTAAAAATTTGAAATTTATTCATATTGAACTTTTTCCATTAGATAAGGTTCAATTTTTTTTCTTTTTGTCCTTTCTCTTTATTTAGGAATTTAAAATGATTTCCTATTTTCTTTTCATATTAGTGTTAGATTCCTTAATATAAAACTATAATACTCTCAGTAAACTAACCAAATCTGGTCCATGACACACTACTGTACTTTGTATTTTCTGCTTCTTAATTCCAGTCTCCTAGGCACTCTTGTTTTCTGCATTTGATTTCCTAGACATCCTTTCAACTCTTAAATTACATTTTCTATTCTTTTAATATATCAATCATCCTTTAACAGTCAAACTTTTAAACCACTAATATTTGAGATAGTTTTTTTTTAATAAAAATGATTCTGCTTCCACAGATGTTCCACAGAACAAAACAAGTGCTTTCTTGTTTAGAGTATTGGAAATACTAAAGCCATACTGAGAATTTCTAAAATGGTCTTCACCATTCTTACATTTTTCATTCTAATCCAAGATCTATTTTTTTTTTTTAGAAACTGGCTTTTTTCTTGTTCATCTTTTTTTCTGATGAAAAGCCTTTACATTTTTATCCTGTAATTTTATCAACCAAAAGAAAGAAACATACTGATGCCATTCAATTTCTGCCATGTCTCCCTTCCATAATCTTTGCTTCCCTTCCATAATCCTACTGTCTTTCTCTCTTCTCTTTACTACTTCCATTTTGCAAAACCTTTTTTCTCTCCAATTTTTCCTCACTGTTTCCAGGGACCTAAAACTAGAATTCAGTCAGAGGTTGAAAATTAACATACCATATGTGACTCTGGTTCTGAAGCATTTTTCTAGATCACTGTTCTCAAGCCATTTTGCCCTAATACAATGTTAATGGAACCTGTTAAAGTGTTTCTCTAAAAAGGCTTTTGGAAGTGCTCTCCTAAAGCATAATTTTACTTTTGTCTAAATGAAAATAGTCATATTCTTTGAATTGCTTGTTAAAGATTTTGTATGAATGGAATATATTATAGTTTATAAAATGAGAGAGTAGTGTTTAGAATTAAATTTTGTATTTTTTGATCACTGTATTTTAGCTTGTTTGGGACATCTCTTACAAAGTTGGTTGCGCTGTGACTGCATGTTCAACTGTTGGGAATATTACACGTGCTGCACTTTTTATATGCAATTATGCCCCAGGGTAAGTTACTTTAAATTAATAAAAGTACATAAAACTAAATTGAGAATAGTTGAAGTTTAAGTTTCCTTAGGTCCTAGTATATTCTTCTAAATGTTTTATGAACTATAAAAGGATTAAATATAAGGTTTTTGCTAAAGATGAGATATTTGCAATTCTATAATGAAATAAGTCATAATTTGGGCATAATGATTTTATTTGTATTCTAGTTGTGATGCCTTCTAGAAGACTCTTAATATTATTTCACAATATCTAACCTAAATAATGTAAGGTTTAAAATATTTTCAAAAATATTATATTGCCATATTTATAATAAAATTCAAAATGAAAGAAAAGTATGTATGTTGAAATTTACCTTAGTACTTGCAACAGCAAGCAGAAACACCAAAACATCATCCAGAATTTGGAGACTGATTTATGTCACATTGATAGGCACTGATTGGGATCATTCCTAAAATGCCAATCCCCAAAAGCCCAGAGAGAAAGGTTTTTATGAATGTGAAAGCAGAAATACAGAGGCAGAATATTTGGCTGTCTTTCATTGATTTTTACAATCTGCATCATAGTGCCTAGCTGTGTATCACAGTGCCAGCCATTTCTAGGAGACAGAAGCAGTCGGAACTGCAATAGGAACTGTCACCTAAGCAACTGAACTATACGGACTGGGGGGTGGGAGCATTTTATGCTACATAGTAACGATTGTTTCAGAATATATCAGTTGGGAAACATGAAGAACATTTAATGGGCACCAAGAAGAAATGACATTGATTGGGGCTACTTTCTTGCATGTAAAGACCCATAACATCTTAGATATGGATGAGCATTTCAAGGTCTTCATATCCTTCCATTTACTCATCATGTACCTGTTTATCGTATATCTGAGTACTTGCCTCTGATAGTAAATAACTACCTCTCAAAGATCTTCAGTCTCTGGAGAGCTCTGTTGGAAAGTTCAGTTTTCTCGCAATCTGATATTATACTACTACTACTATTTCTAAGATAATAATATGTAATCTATTAACTAGTGATTTCCTACTGTTTATTTTTTCTGAAATTCTGTATAACTTGTACCCTTTTTCTGTTTTTTTTTTCTTTTTCTCAAATAAAAAAAGAAAGTGAACTAGAGTATATGTCATCTGCAATTAATGATAATTTAACTTGTTGTTTTCCTATCTTTACGCCTTTTATTTATCTCCTTTGTCTAATTGCTCTGGCTAGTATTTCCAGAACTATATTAAATAGGAGCAGTGATAAGGGACATCCTTATCTTGTGCCTGATTTTAAGGTAAAGGCCTTCAATTTTTGGCCATTTAGTATGATACTGGCTGTTGGTTTGTCATAGATGGCCTTTATTATATTGCGGTAAAGACCATCTATTCCAATTTTCTGTAAGTTTCTTATCATAAATGAATGTTGGACCATATTGAAAGCTTTTTCTGCATCTACAGAAATGATCATGTGTCTTACTTTTGGTTTTATTAATATGTTGGATTACATTTATTGATTTACCTATGTTGAACCATCCTGGCATGTCTGGGATGAATCCCACTTGGTCATGGTATATAATCTTCTTGATGATTTGCTGCATTCTATTTCCCAATATTGTATTGAGGATTTTTGCAACTGTGTTCATTAGGGAGATTAGTCTGTAGTTCTCTCTTTTTTTAGTTGACTCTTAGATATAATAAATAAATTCAGCAAGGTGTCTGAATACAAAATCAATACTCAAAAATCAATAGCATCCCTATACACAAACAAGATCACAGAGACAGAAATAAGATAAGCCACACCCTTCACACTAGCAACCAAAAAAATGAAATATTGAGGAATTAATCTCACAAAAGAAGTGAAAGACCTATACAAGGAAAATTATTATACACTGAAAAAAGAAATTGAAGGGGATCTCAGAAAGTGGAAAGACATCCCTTGCTCATAGGTAGGAAGAATAAATATTTTGAAAATGGCCATTCTCCCAAAACTGTTATACAGATTCAATGTAATCCCAATAAAAAATACCATCAACATACCTCATAGATCTAGATAAATCACTCCTAAAATTCATCTGGAGCGAGAAGAGACCTAAAATAGCAAAGACAGTTCTAAACAGTGAAGGCAAGGCAGGAGACATCACAATCCCTGACTTGAAGTTATACTACAAAGCAACTGTAGTAAAATTGATGTGGTACTGGAATCAAAACAGAGCTGAAGATCAATGGAATAGACTAGAAGATTTAACCACAGCTACAAACACACTCAACCACCTTATCTTTGATAAAGGGGCCGAACATGTTCACTGGAAGAACGACAATCTCTTTAATAAATGGTGTTGGAAAAACTGGCTCTCCATATGCCAAAAACTAAAACTAGACCCATGCCTATCACCATGTACCTAATTAAAATCTAAATAGATCAAAGATCTCAATATTAAAACAGAAACACTAAATCTATTGGAAGACAAATTGGGTAAAAACCTTGAAGACATAGGGGTAGTAGAGAATTCATGAACAGGACTCAAACCACATGGGAAATACTTCCCAGAATCAATAACTGGGATCACCTCTTATTAAAAAGTTTCTGCATGTCAAAAGAAATCTCCAGCATAGTGAAAACAAAACCCACAAACTGGGAAAAATGTTAGTGAACTGTCCCTCAAACAAAGGACTTCTGTCTAAAACATATAAAGAATTAAAAAAAATCAGGCCCCTAAAATTCAAAGATCCAATCCAAAAATGGGCATCTGAGAAGAATACACACTTCTCAGATGAAGAAATACAAATGGCAAATAAATACATGAAAAAATGTTCATCATCATTACTCATTAGAGAAATGCAAATTAAAACCACACTGAGATTCCATCTCACTCCTGAAAGAATGGCCAGGATCAAGAAAACCAACAACAACAAATGCTGGAGAGGCTGTAGGGAAAAAGGAACTCTCCTGCACTGTTGGTGGGAGTGTAGACTGGTGTGACCATTGCGGAGGTCAGTCTGGAGATTTCTCAAAAAGCTTGGATTGGAAGTCCCATTGTTCCAGCTATTCCACTTCTAGGCATATTCCCAGAAGAACTGAAAGCATTGTATCACAGTGATATATATACACCCATGTTTATAGCAGCACAACTTGTAGCCAGATCTTGGAAACAGTTGTGTTCAACAACTGAGGATGGTTTAAAAAGTTGTGGTATTTTTATACAATGGAGTACTACTCAGTTATAAAGAATGATCACATTGAGATATTTATAAATAAATGGGTGCAGCTTGAGACTATACTCATAAGTGAAATAAATCAAACCCACGTGTATAAATACCGAATAGTTTCCCTAGTGTAAGAAATGACAACAATACATAAAAGTATGTGGTAATCATGTTTCCCATTATATTGCTTTGAAGCCTTATAATGTTTTCATTCATTAATTGTAATGGTTTTATTCTGGACTGTTTGATTTTATTATCTGTCGGTATGAACAGCTATTTTGGAGAAAACAAGATATCATAATAGCTAGTGCTGATTTAATATCATCTTGTTTTAAAGTCCCATCAAGCTTTTGTTCTTCTGTCTCCATCAGTCTTCACATGTTGTATCTTATTAGATTTTATTATATGGATAGTATAAACAAAAACTTTTATAGACAAGGAGATAATATAGAAACCACTATTCATTTTCTGTTAGTTGGTTCTAAATACCCTGCATTACTGTCATTCTCTTGAATGGTTTTATATTGTCTTGATATGTTTGATGCTACAATATAAGAAGTTATACTCAAATATTTCAAGGAAAGAGACACTATGGTAACTACTGTTATGTCGAGATATCTTGTGGTGAAACACCATGTTCCTTAAATTGTTATGTTCTGACTTGTGCTGTTGTGTTGTTATGTCCTCTTTTATCTCAATCTCCTTTTTTTATTCTTTATTTTTTTTATTTTTATCTTTTTAATTAAGGGGAAAAATAAATTTTAAAATATCAGGATATATTATAATAACCCACTTTGATTTCCTGTTAACTTGATTTGAAATTCTGTATTGCTCTCACCATCTTGTTTTGACTGATTTTACTCTATTCTGTTTTGCTTGATAGTATCAAGTATGAGAGTATAGGCAACTACTTTGAAGACAATAAGATTCACCATGATGCCCATTCTGGTTTGACTATTCTTTTGAAGTCCTGTAAGGTCTCCAATGTTTTGGTTTTATTGGTTTTGTTCTGTACTGTTTTGTTCAATTTTATTATAACTGATCATATAGGAAATTTTTTTAAGATAGCAAGAGGCATTATGGTAACCATTGTTGATCACCTTGTATTCTGTTTTTACATCATGTACTATATCCATCCTTTTGATTTGACTGACTCTGTTTTGTTATGTCACATTTGGTTTTATTCTCTTCAAAAAAAGTAGTAAGAACTGTGTGAGTAATAAAACCCAAAATGTGTAATTGTCATTGTAAAAAAGAGGAAAAGAAAGTGCTCTAAAGTATATAACTGCATCTATATTTAAGTGTATAAAATAGAAAGTGTATCCAATAAAAACTGAGTTTTTGTTGGATCATTGAACAGAACTGTTTGCAGTCTCACTGTTTGAATGTCCACTTTATATGCTTTAATTTTGTAACTTTAACAACTATTTCTAAGATGACAATATGCAATCTATTAGCTAGTGACTTCATACTGTTTTTTTTTGAAATTCTGTATTACTTGTACTTTTTTCTGTTTTTTTTCTTTTTCTCCATAAATAAAATTTTAAAAAGACAGTGAACTAGATTCAGAAAACCCATTTCTGATGAAAAATGACTGTATTTAGCTTATAGTCTTATTAAAGAGAAAAACACTTGTTAATTATATATAAATATATAATATTTTAGCTGAATAATAAGTGCACTATAAAATAAATCTGAATTATCAAATAAGGAATGATTAATGTAAAAGAAGACAGGGTAGTTACAGATAGAGGTAACACTGGAATAGAAAGTCAAATGATAAGAAGATGACTAATGAATATTCCAGTT